GCTGAGCTGAGAATCAACCTTTGTCCCCAGTGCCAGAGGGAGGGGCGGGGTCGCCAGGCAGAGGGCAGGGAAGGACAGAGCACCCTGGAGGGAAGAAGGCAGGTGGGACCTGAGAGAGCAGCGTCTGGGAAGAGATGCTGGGGGGCAGCATAGGTCCCCATTCTGGATTGTCCCCAGCTCCCCAAGGGCTCGGGGCGTCTCTGTGGCAGCCCAGCAAAGCTCCTCCTGACCCACTCGCTTTGCAATTAGGCTGTCTCCACGGTCTCCCCGGTCCCAGGCACCCAGGAGGGTGCAAGCTGTTGGGTGGCGAGGAGGTGGCCACAGACAGCCTTCCCCATGGTCAGAGGCCCCCGCGCAGCCCAGGGAGGGGAAGAAATGAATGTCCTGACACCTCTTAGTCACGTCACAGCTGCCCCTTGCCAGCTAGGCCCTGGGCCCTGTCTCATCCCCCCAGGCCTGCAGCAGCAGTAAGGCGAGATCCTTCGTGCCCAGCCTCCTCCAGCTGGGGCCTTGCTGGGACCAGTTGTCCCAAGTGCTCGGTCCCCTGAGAACACTCCGGTTCCTCCCTCAGACCCTACCTCAGTGGCCTCTTCTGTGTCCCTTCTTGGGGCCTAACAGGATGAGGGGTGACAAGCCTGGCAGAGTGGCCTCTCAATGTTTGATTCTATTCCCCTCGCCCAGGGAGTAAGCTGTGGGCTGCCCCTGCTGGTGCCGCTACTTACCAACCCGCCCGCCTCCAGCAGGACCCCGACAGAGTGGGGCAGCCCCCAGCGGGGGGCATGGGTCCCCCTTTTCTGTTGCCCTGGCTCCCTAGCACCCCTCCAGACCCTGAGCATCCCAGCTGGGCCCCAGGTGGGAGCTGGGGCACATTAGGACACATGTGTGCCTCCTGGCGGGGGCCTCAGGGCAGCCAGCGTGGCCTCCACACCTGCGGGGCCTCCCAGCACCCAGGTGCGGGCCCAGCTGTTGGCCCTGGACGAGCGGAAACGACAGCTCCTTAGCGGGGCCTCCTCTCTCTCCTCCACGCTCTCCCGCTCTTCGGATTCTTTTTCCACTTTGTCAGGGACACCCATCCCCCCTGTGAGACCTAATTCTGGGTGGATGCAGGCCCGGGCACAGCCACGCACACCCCTTCCTCCCCCATCTCTGTCTCCTGCCTTCGGTCCTCGTTGTAACATTAAGACCACACTCTGGCTTGACAGGAGCATTTTCTGGTGGAAACTAGCCTCCCTGCCCCTTGGACAGAAAATGAGAATTTTCATTCTATGCCTAATTGATTTCCTCCCGAGGTCAGGGTGGCAGATAGGGCCCGTGTTTCTCTGGGGACAGGGGGACAGGGACCACCTGCATCAGTCACAGCTGAGAGAGGCCCCACCCAAACCCCCCTGAGCCTGAGCCTCTGGAGTAGCCCAGGAATCAGCATGTCGTCACCCCCTCTGGAGTCTACGCACAGGCTGGAAATCGACACTCCTAGTACTTTGAGCTGGGGCGGGGACAGCAGCCAGCCACCGTGACACCTGTCTCGGGGGACACGCGCGCTTTGGCAGGTTTAATCTGAACACAACCCGAGGAGAGCGAGGGGAGGACTCCGAGCCCACTCTCCTTCTGCTTTTTCTACCAAAAAAGCAATTGCCTAGCGCAGGCTGGCGCGGGAGCAAAAGTGACTCAGCCTGAGCGCCCCAGCGGGACGCACGCGGATGACACTGGGTGTCTGGGCTCCCAACGCAGTTTATGCTTCGCCTGCATAAACCTGTGCTGCTGAGCCTCATGATAGGGACAGAATACAATCGAGACACAGTCATTTTCTTCCCACCGCCTTTGAGCTCAGGGGACTCGAGGCACCTCCAGGGAAAGGTTTTCGCTCCTTCCTGCTAGTTTTACTCATTTACCTCCAGGTGACACTGCGTAGTGAGCCAGTTCCCAGAGGCACACGAATCTCAGCAGTGACTGTCCACGGCGTCCTCATAAATAAACAAAAGAGCATGAGACATTCCGCACCTGGGTTGCAGGTTCGATCCCTGCGTGCTGGAGGCAACCAGCCCATGTGCCTCTCTCACACTGATGTTCACGCTCGCTCCCCCTTGCCCTTCCTCTCTCTCAAAAAAACCAATAAGCTATTTAAAAAAGAAGAAGGAAGAAAAGAAAAGAAAATTAACTCCTAAAAAGAAAGAAAGAACCTTGGGGACAGAAGGCCATACCTCCGAGGCCTGGGCCAGGTGGTCCTCTTGAGGCCCCAGCATGGCTCTCGCCGGCTTGTGGCTGGCTACAGGCTCCCTCCCTGCCTTTTCTTTATGAACGAGGGGCCTCAGGAGGTCCGAGGGGACTGGGACAAAAGGAGCGGTGCACAGCTCCTCCTCATTCCTCCCCAGGACCATCGGTCCAGGGTGCAATTCTCAAAGAGGCCCAACAGCCCTCAGCGGCTACCGTAGGAGCTTCTCTGCTCCCGCCAACGTGGGCAGGGCCTCCCGGTGGAAAAAATAAAGCCATTCTTGCGGGAGACAACCCGCCTCCCACACACACCTGTGAGGCCTCAGGTGCTGCTCCGTGGGCTCTGGGTGCAGCAGCTGGCACTCACTTTAAAATGCAGTCGCAATAAACGGAAACCCCAAAGCGCGCAGTGCCGGGTGCCGCGTTTTGTACGGCGGCTGGGGAGCTCTTTTACCGCCTACATTGTAAACGGTCAGCACACCAGTCAAGGCGTGTGGTGCAGAGGACCGCACACGGCAAACGCCTTCCTTGGTACAACGTTCCCCTTCCCCCTCCAAAATCAGTGTCAAATGAGCATGAAGGGACACCAAACCCTTTGCCAGCCCGAAATGCCCCAGTCCTGTTGTGCCCAAGACCCTGAGGACCTCCCGGGACAGGCTGAGGGTGGGATTGTCTCCAGGTGGGGACTTGTCCTCTAGCTGTCCAGTTGTTCCAGCCCTGACGCCCACCATTCAACCCTGGGGACACCAACAGGACTCGGACACTGCCTCTCCTCTCACCGGCGAAGGCAGCCAGGACACTGTGCTCTCTAAGAGCAAGTGCCAGCACCTGCCTGAGCTGTCCCAGGTGCTTCTGTGTGGATGGAAGCAAATGGGGGGAAGGGGTGCATTCGAATTCATCTTGAAGGATGCACTGACGTGGCCAGACAGGAGAAGAGGAACAGAGCAGGCCCCACAGAGGGAAGAGCCCGGGCAGACACACAGGGCATCTTCCAGACACTGGAGACAGTCCTGAAACTGGGACACCCAGTGGGCAGGGCCAGACCACAAGGGGCTTTTCGCTCCCTGCCAAGGGTGGGGTTGTCTCCTTGGCACTGAGAAGTCATGGAAGGTTATTTTTAAAATATGTTTTTATTGATTTCAGAGAGAGGAAGGGAGAGGGAGAGAGAGATAGGACATCAGTGATGATGAGAGTCATTGATCAGCTGCCTCCTGCAGCCCCCGACTGGGGATCGAGCCTGAAACCCAGGCATGGGCCCTGACCGGGAGTCGACCCGTGACCTTCTGGTTCGTGGATTGGCGCTCAACCACTGAGCCATACCGGCTGGACCATGGAAGATTTCTTAACAGGGAGTAAACTGGGTGAATGTGCTGCCTAGAAAGATGACTGGTAGGCGTACAGGGTGGATTTTAAGGGGAAGGCTGGAGGCGGAGAGAATAGGTGGAAGCAGTTGCCATAGACCTGCTGGGCGGGACGGCCCGGCTGCGGGGGAAGGAGGCAAAGGAAACAGCCTGGTGACCAGTCGACATGGCGCTCGGGCAGAGAGCTCAGTAGGCGAGAGAAAAACCTCGGCTGACCTTGACCTTAAGACTTAGACACGGGGCGGGAGGGGGCGCGGGGACACTAGCACAGAGGACGAGCAGGCAGATAGAGGGGGAGGGACACCCAGGCCGCTGGCCTGACCCCGCACCCCTCCACTTCCCTGCCTGGAGAAGGGGGAGAGATGGCTCACAGGAAGATGACTGTGGCTTCTGAGCAGATCTAGGGTGGGGCAGGACCCACAGGGGCAGCTAAGCAGTTCTCCTGTGCTCCTTAGAACGGCAGCCCTCTTTCCTCAGGTGGAAGCATTGCCCCTCTAAACCTCTGAGCGAGTCTAACTCTTCGGGGTACCTGGGGACCGGTCACCACCTGCTTTGAGAAGGTCGCCTCCGTCTGAAGCTTCCATTGTTTCCGTCTCAGCTTTTCTTGCCATCCCCAGTTTAGCCACTAGATGGCAGCAGACTCCAGAGATTGGGGAGAAAGGATTGGGGTGCCCCTGAAAGGCCTGCATCTTGAGGGGTGTTCATCTCACCTAATCCTAATTTAATTTAATTTTTCTAAGGTACACTCTTGTTATGGATATAGTCTACTTGTAAGCAGATTATCTGTATGTCTGCATGAAGAATATATTCCTGAATATAAAGAATTCACACAAATAAACTTTTCTTAGTCTCCCAGGCCCTCTTTGTTCTTCAGTCTTCAGGAAAAACAACAGGAACTGGGGCAGAAATGATGACTTTCCTGAAGTTCCCATATAAAAGCGGGAATTGGTGCAGTTAGATTAAATGAGCGGTTTGGCCCATGACCGGCTGCAGGCTGGCTGGCTCCCAGGCAGGGATGGAGAGGGGCAGCCGAGGGTGGGGGTCAGTGCGCCCCCCGCTGTGGGTGCCCTTGTGCCTGAGGCCGTCACCTCCTCTCTGCTGCCCTGAGGCAGATCCACTGCCTCCCCCAGGATGGCTGTGCTCACAGAGGGGCACCAGGCGGCACGGCCTGAGCAGCGGGCAGCACTCGGAGACCCAGAGGATGAGAAAGGCCAACTGGATCCCAGGCGTGGAAAGGAACCCAAACCCAGGACCTGGGCCTGAGAGTGGGGGACAAAGAGTTTTGGGCAGTGGGGAGCTGGACCACGTGGCAGAAATAAAATAAAAGTCCCTAAGAGACCATCCTCGGCTGTGTCAGCAAGAAGCCTGGCGGGGGTCCCGAGACCAGACAAGCTCCTAAAAGTTGAAGTTCTTCAAGTCCGTGGAGCAGCACTACCTGCCATCCGGGCACCTGGAGCACAGCAGGTGGGGCGGGCAGGGGCAGGTGTGGTGGTGGCGCTTTCTGAAGTAGGGGACCTGGGGAGAGAGGAAAAGCAGGATGACACCTTCACCCAAAGGGACATGGGCCTCCCGGCAGGAGCCTCTGGTGGGCCCAGCCCTGGTCAGTCTCATCACCTCCACCCCAGCACAACTACAGCTCTTAGAGGAGGAAACTGAGGCACAGAGTGGCTAAGCAACATGCCAAGACCACAGGGCTAATGGGTGGAGGAACCAGGGTTTGAACCCAGGCAACCTGGCCGAGACCATGGGATCAGCCACAGCGCAAGGCTGTCCACCCCCAACCCTGAAATCCCACAAGTCGCCAACACCGCCTACCCCTCCCTGGCCCAGCACACGCACGCACGCACACACGCACCCTTGATTGAATATCGCTTAGAACTCAGCCATTATGTGTGTGACACCATGTCGGGTGCTGGGGAAGCAGCTGGACTGGGCAGACACTGCCTCTGCCCAGCTCACGCCCAGGAGGGTGCATGAGTAGTGTCACACTGCCTGGGCTCAAATCCCAGGCCCACCACTTAAATGCTGTGTGACAATTGGCAAGTTATTTAGCCTCTCTCTGCCTCAACTTTATTATCTGTAAAATGGGTTAATAACAGAGCCCACCACATATGGTCATAAAGAGGCTTAAGCTTGCAAAAAGCACTTAGTAGGGAGAGTGTTCCAGTCCCAGCTTGGTCTCCTTGGCTCTGTACCCCCAGCAAGTCCACGCGGTACCTTGTAGCTGCCGGGGTGACACTCCTCTGCTTCCCTCCCCAGTGGGGTACACATCCGCAGACCCTGAAGCCACAGGCTAATGGCACAGCAGGTGCCCACTCCACACTGGACATCCTGCTCACAGGCCTGCAGGGGGGACAGACGGGCCATTGGGGCCCATTAGTGCCGCCCAAGAGAAACCAGAAGTGAAAAGCACACCCAAAAACCCTTGGAGGGTACTAAGAGCAGCACCTCCACCCCCAGCCCCACAGGACACCTTGGGCCTTGCCTTACTGTCCCCGCTCCCCCCCTGCAGGCGGCTCAGGGCTCAGTGGGGCATCAGACCTGGACCTGAGGAAACCTGCCCCCCAAGCTCCGCACCCAGGTTGCTGCCTCCCCACCCCACACCCTCGCCTGAGGTCCGGTGCCCAGCAAACAGCTGTCACCCTGCCCCCCACCCCCATAGGAATGAACCCCTCTGGGTGGGCTGGACTCCCAGGATAGGGGCCTGCCTGGCTCCTGGAAGGTGCCATTTGTAAAGGCCACAGGAGCTGCTTTAAACAGAAACCTGGATGGGGGAAGCAACTCTGAACTGCTCCGGGCTCCAGTGCCCTTCGAGGGAGGAGCACGAGGGAGGAGCCCGGACCGCTTCCCTTCCAGAGAAGCCTCAGGGCCGTTTGGGCCTGGGTGGTGGGAACTGGACAGCCCCACCTGCTCAGCCCCAGGGGGACATGCGGGCTGCTTGTCACCCAGAGGAGCTGCAGGGGGCAGTCACCTGGCCATGCTGGTCCCCAGCCTGGTGAAGACACACCTCACACACCAACCGGCCCCAGAAAGCTCAAGGTGAGGGCCAAGGAGACCACACCTCTCTTCCCACAGAGGTGTGGGTCGCTGTCTGGGAGAAGGGACCATCTAGGCCTGAGCTGGGGTCAGTGACAGTCTGGGGAACAAAGGAGTGTGGACGGTAGAACCCAGCCCCTTCCTGAGAGTCAGGCAGGACAGCAGCAGATGGAGAGCTGGGGAGCCCACGGGGTCCCCACCCGCCCTCATCGCCGGTTCTGCCCAGGCCTTTCCTCCTCCCCGGGTGGGTTCCTCTCTCCCTGCGCTCTTCAAAGGGTCCACTGGAAGGAAGAGTCCCCACCTCCCTCAGACCTGCCTCCTGCCGCCACTGGGGCCAGATGTGGGAGCTCACAGGGCGAGGAGACCTGCTGCTCCCACCCCCTCGGGGCAGGGACCTCGCTTCTCCCTGACTCACCCTCCCCATGGGAAGTGCGGTGGGCGGCTGGCTCGGGGTTTACACCCACTGGGCCTCATTCTGCCCAGACAACCGTATAACAAATGCTCTGGGTCTCAAAAGCACCGGCTTGCCTTTCGCATTTGTCCTTTGAAATTCGGTCTTTGTCCTTGAAAAAGGAGAGGAAAGGAGCCTCCCTTCTGTGAGCGGGAAAACTAATTGGATTCCAGGGTCGTTTGGCATTTCCCTGCGTCTTCATTGTCTGGGGGAAAGTTGCAGGAGGTGGAAATAAAAGTGAATTCCCTTCCCCCCCTTTTTTTTCTTAGTCTCTTTTACCTGGACAGCTCTTGGGTAACGGTGACTTTCTGTTGTAATGAGAATGGTGCCACCACCGTAACACAGCGTGTGCCCATCTGAGGTGGCTCCAGGTAGAGCCACGCTTCCAAGGGACCCGCACCCGAGGACGTTGACACTAACGCACAGAGCCTCTGCCATGAGACTCATTTCTCCCGTTGCCCCCCCTTCGTGCTCTCGGGTGCACTCAGCCAATTGCAGGTGTCACCCCCATTCCCATCAGAACTGGGCACAGAGTGAAAACACAGGAATGGTCAGGGAAAGAGTTTCAAGACAGCCTGTGCTAAGAGCAGAGGAGGCAGAGGGTAACGGTGCCCGAAAGACGCTCATGGGAATCTGCATTCCCCAAAGGTCCTGGCCTCGCAATGTTCAGTGCTCCCCCAACGCACTGAGAACGGGCCTTGGTTTCCGTGCAGCTCCTCCGGGGCAGCTCCGCGCAGCAGAGCGACGGCTGACCGGTGAAAATCACGTGAACCACCTTGGAAGCGCTGTCGATGGCCGACCCCTGTCCTTCGGTGTGTCCCCGGCGTGGTCCCGGCTCGCTCCCATGCAGGTCCTGACACCCTCTCCAGACCCCCAGAAATGTTGGCCGACTTACCCCTGTGATCACGGCACAGCCAGACACAGTCACCAGGAGGAGTATGATGGAGACTCGCGTGGCACCTCTCATGGTCACTTGGGGTGAAGGCAGACGCGGTCCACGGGTACACGGTCCACGGGTGCAGGGTCCACGGGTGCACGGCCCACGGGTGCGCGGCCCACTGGTGCAGGGTCCACGGGTGCGCGGCCCACGGGTGCACGGTCCACTGGTGCAGGGTCCACGGGTGCGCGGCCCACGGGTGCGCGGTCCACGGGTGCGCGGCCCACGGGTGCAGGGTCCACTGGTGCGCTCCGCTCTCTCGCTTCCTGTGGCTCAGCCTTGTGTCGCCAGCGAGGAAGGCCAGGCACCCGGCCCCTCCCTCCTCCCAATTCCTACGCCCCATCCAGCTGCCTCTGGACGCCTCCTCTCCTCCTTTCCCCATCACCGGTGTTACCAGATGATCTCAGATGCCAAGATGAGACCTGAATCCCTAATGACATCAGATCAGCATCAAAACCAATAGAAATGAAAGCGCGGGGGTCTTTGACAGTCACTGTGAGTCTCCCAAACCGCGCTGATCCAGGCGGTCACATACATCGCACCGCTGTCCTCTCTGCCTCTGGGGCGTCCCTGTCTGCTTGGGGCAGGGGAAGGACTTGGTAATGAATGAAGGGATTTACAGCCTCGCTGTTTACCCACGCCCGCACCAAACCACGCAGCAGGGTCACCGGGTCCCTCGCACTCAAGCCAACGAGAACTGTCCGGGCGGTTACGGGGGGCTCAGCAGAAAGCTGGCAGCCGAGAGGACAGTGGGCGAGGCGGTGTCCCTGGTCCTCCAGAAGGGTCAGATGCCGACAGGGAGACGAGACATCGAGAAAGCAGGGCAGGCTTGTGGGATGGGTGTCTGAGAAGCACACATAAGGAATTGCTCTCTAACAGTCTCGAGACCAACACCAAGTGTCATTCGGTACAGAAACCACACGGCAGGAGGTGAGCCGGCCCACAGGTCCCTGCCGAGAAGTGGGCCTGGGCTGGGGTGCGGCTGACGGTCCCAGGAGCCCCGCTGCTGCCTGCCTGCTTTGGGGGTGAGCATGACATGGGTGAACAGACACGGTGGGCGCAGATCCAGTCTCATGGGACGCTGACTCGGGCATGGCCCCTCCTGCTGGGCGGGAAGCCCCTGGTCCCAGCCCTCCCCATGCCGGACAACCCGGCGAGATCCCAGGACCCTTTATCAGACAATCCGCCTTCTCCCCACAAGGACAAAAGCCGTGATGTCCCAGGGTCCTTTCTGCAACATTAATAGGTGTTACCCACACCAATGAATAAATAAAGAAATCTATGGTCAGAGATTTGGGAAACCGATTCCACAAGTTCAACCAAGGTCTTTACTGCAGGCATTTTCAGAGCCACATGCACTCAAATGAACGTCCAGGGCACCTAGATGCTGATGACCCCAGGTCTATGTCCCCACCCAGGCACCCCAGGCTCCTGGCCGACCTGGCCAACAGCCCCCTGGAGGTCGCACGCTGTCCCCGCTGGCACCTCATGTGCACATGCCCCATCCTCCACCCTTTTCTCACCCTCGCCCTTAAACCCCCTCATATTGCCCAGGGTTCTGAGTTGCAAAACAGCAGAATCCTGTCCGGGCGGCCAAAGTGGGAGAGAGAATTGAATCAAGACTATGAAGCAGCTCGGTGAATTGTTTGGAGTCTTGAGAAACAGGATGGAGCCAAGCGTCCAAGAACAATGCCCAGAGCCGCACCACGGCATTGCCCAACGAGGAGGGTGCTCCCCCAGCCAGACCCCATGCTGACATGGGGGCCCCGCCGAGCCTCTTTCTTTACGTTGCTTCATTGCTGCGGAAGGCACGGGTGGGCTGTCTGATCGCTGACCCAGAATGGCGTGCCCGCACCCGTCTGCATGGCGTGCCCGCACCCGTCTGCAAGGGCACCGGGGTGTAACTGACCCCAACTGTATCCAGGAAGGTGCTCAAAGCCCTTGGGCAGCTGTGGTGCATGTTGCCACGGCCCGGTCTTCCTGCTGTGTCCCTATGACTGCCACACTCAGTCACCAAGCCTGGGTGTTTCCTTGATTCCTGAATCTCCCTGGGCTTCTGGGCCCAGCTCACTGCCTTCCTGAACCTCGGATAAGCCCCTCGTAGCAGGTTCTACTGGGGGTCCCTGAAGTCATGTCCCTGGACCATGACTTTCAGGGGCAGCTGAGGGTGGAAAGTTGCACATGAGCTCAGATCCACCTGTGCTGACAGGCCCACCTGCAAAAGGCCACTGTTCCCCGCACTGAGGCCCCGAGGCCTCCTGTGCCCTGCAGGAGCTCAGCCTGCAAGTGCAGGGAGTTAATCCCACCCCACCCTGGGGACCCTCAACCTGGGATAAGGGAACCAGTGGATAAATACTCCAACCTGGAAGGCCCTGAAAGAATCCAGCCCCCTCCGAGAGAGCACGATGCTTATTGGTATCCCTGCTCCCCTCTCTTCGCTTGTCCCTCCTTGGCTGGACTCACCTCCCAAATAAACCACCAGCAACCGAGACTTTGCCTCAGGCTCTGCTTCCTGAGGAGCCCAAGCCTGGATGTCACTCACCCTCTTAGGACTTCATCTTCCTCCTCTACAGAATCGGGTTTTCTGACACTTGCCCTCAGGACTGTCCTGGAGGAAGGGGGACCTCCTGGGGCCAGTGAGGCCCAGCAAAGGGCACCACATCCTGTCTCATGGACAAGCTCCACCTCAGCTGTCACTGCTGGTGGTCCACGTGAGCTCACTTTTTCAGAGAACTTGTGCTTTGACTTGTCAGAGGCCCTGGGGGCTGATCCAGAAAGGAGAGCCCCGTCCCCAGGCTGTCGTGCTCAGGTGCAGCTCCTCGTCGAAGGCTGCATCACTAGGGCCTCCTCTCCAAGGACACACGCGGATCCTCTGACCGTCGGTCATGAGGTCGTGTAATTTAGAAGCATGGGGTTAGGACTTGCCCTTGGCTGGATATTTCCAATACATTTCGGGACATTCCTGTCTGGGATGGATTTCTTCTTCCCCTAAGAGAATTCTAGGCACCAGAAATCTCTCTGGCTCATTAACTTGTTGGATCCCCTACAAATGTCAAGGCCACCACCTCTAAGGGAGCCCAGCGAGGCCATAAACAGAGCTCTGAGACTCTGACGTCTCAGCCTCCTTGGAGCCTAATTAGTCCCAGCTAAGTGGGAAGACCCCCCAGGGTCAGGGGGCAAGGAGGCCCATTGGGATCAGGGTACAGCACAGAGGGGTGGGCATGGCGTAGGGTAAGCACAAGGGCCGATGCAGGAACCCAGGCCCAAGACAACAGAGTGGAAGAGCATCTATGATCCAGGCCGGGAGACGGGAGGGAGCAGTCACCAGACCAGAAGGAGAGTCTTACAGAGAGAGGTCTCTCCAGAGCATCTGTGACCCTTTGGCCAAGGGAAAACCAGCCCAGTGTCACACACACACACACACACACACACACACACACACACACACATACGGTCTTATGAAAGCTCCCCACCAGCCAAGCCCAGCTGGACTCCAGCCTGCACAGGGCCCACTGATGCCATTCCCAGAGGTCAGCCTCCAGGACCTAAGAGCCCAAACTTGGACTTCTCACCAAGTCCAGGGCACTGGGGACCCCAGATGGGTTTTGAGCAGGAGAAGAGCATGGTTGGGTGTGCTTTGGAGAGGACACCGCCCGGGTCTTTAGTATGCAGCACCCGGATGGTTGTTACAACAATTACTGCGACAGGGCTTCCTCTAGTACACCTTGCAAAAGGGATCAAGGTCCCAGGCCACCAAGCTGTGGAGCAGAGCCCAGGTCCCTGGTGAGGCAGGTCCCTCGGTGAGCTGACCCTCTGACAGCTACCCCCGCCGCGTGCGTCTCGAAACACAGCGGGCCTGTCTTCTCCTAGGAGCCCGTCCACCTGGAAAAGCGAACACAAGCCCCCGGCCTGCCCAGCCCCCCACTCCCTCTGGGCTCCGCTGTTACAAACCCGAAAGATTTACCCGGGGATCATAAGTAGACAAGAGGAAGCACATGGTTGTTGGCCAGCTCCTGGAAAAGCAGCAGAGCCACTGGCTCCACAGTCCCTCACGCAGGATGAGCCAGGGAAACACGTGGGAATTAAAACTCAGGATGGTCTGAAGGCGGCGTTGACAGAGCAGCTTCAGAGCTGCGGGGCGACTGCCCATGGCCAGGACCAGAGCCAGGGGCTCACCCGCAGGAAGGGGTGCTTCCACCTGGTGCTGATTGAACAAGGCAATAAACGGGAGCTGCAGTGGGAACACTGACAGCTGAAGCTTCGTAAAGGAGATAAATCTGTGCTGGCCACTTTCCCACCAAATAAGGGCAGCTGCCTCCTGCTGGGGAGCCCCGGGAGCCCCAGGCCTGGTACAGTGACTGCGTTGCTCTCTCCTTCTCATGAAGGGCTAATCCTTCCATTTGTGAAGCTGCAGAGAGTAAGGGGGTGGTGGCTTTAATAGTATTCTATAATCCATGCACTTTTATGCATTTCAAATACTTCATTAAAATAAATAAAAGCAATTTAATTTAAAACACATACTTCTCTTGATGGCAGATTGGTGACCTTCTCCAACATGGGGACATTTACTACTGCTCCCCCCTCCCAGGAATTATTGACTAAACTCACCTTTTCTTAGGGAACAAGACCAGCAGGGTTTGGAGCAGCTCGGATGGAGGTCTTGGGGAGCGGGGTGGCCAGGGCACACACGACCCGAGGGCGTGGGCCAGCTGCGGGGCACAGAGCTCTGCCCCTCCCAGCCCTCGGAGGAAGGGCGCCCCAGGCCCGCTTCACGCTGTCCTGGCCACAGGTGGGAAGACTCCCAGGCTGGATCAGGAACAGGCAGGGTGGCGGCTGCTTGTGACAATGTGAGCAGAGACACACTTAATCTTAAATCAAAACGTGGTAGGACGAGAGAAAGACGCCTTGGCTCTCTTTAGACCGGCTTCCTCCACGTACCCCCACCTGGCCCAGCCAAACAGTCACTGCAAGGGGAACGTGGCATGCGGTTCCTTCCGGCGATGATGAACCCAGGGAAGGCGGAGGGTTTT